AAGACAGAGTTCATCCAGAGAAAAATGCAGCAATCTGAGATCTTGGTAGTATTCTCAAGAGTCAAACACAAATTCAGTAATAAACAGGTAATAAAATGTAAACTTTGCATTTTGGAGCTCAGCATCCCCCTGTAAACCTCTGCAGTTCCCTGGGGCTCAGCACGCAGGTTCCTTTAGTTAATAGCACCAGGAGGGTTAAATCTGCCTCCTTCTGGGGGCCATTGGCAGGGCTGCAATGGAAGGCAGAGAACTCCCAGTTTTCAGAGCCCTTCCCAGCTGAGGATCTCGGTGTTTTACAGACAGTGACAGTCTGGGGCTCACAGGGCTCTCAGGCAGGAGCTGAGCTTTGTGTGTCCCACGGCACAGATAAAGCAGGCCCAGGCACAGGGAGTTTGTCTTGGCCCAGGGCACATGAAAATATCAGTAACAGCCAGGGACAGAACCAAAATTGCTCAGTTCCTACTGTTTAGCTCTAACCACTTTACTGGGAAATGTAAAGCTCCAGACAGGCAGCAAGTGCCTGGCCCAGGGAGGCTGGGGAGCTCTGGAATGAGCAGCTGCCAGACTGGGGGAATGCTAAAGATGTGAAATGCAAGGAAAACTGAGAATTTGTGAACTTGCTGCAGACTTTTTTAACAGGCAGCTTTCAAGGGAGAGGTGTGAAATCAGCATAGCTGAAAGGAGTGATTTTCTGACAAATCAAATCAGCAGTCAGGCCTGGGACAGGGTGTGTGCACAGAAATGTGCACAGGAGCAGAGGGAACGCCTGGAGGCAGAAATCCCTGCTCAGCTCCCTTTGCTGGGCAGGGTGGGAAGCACACTGGGATCTGTCTGAGGGAGCTCTGGGGTGGGATAAAACATCCAAAACCTCTGCTGGGGTGATTTCTGTGTGCTCTGTCTGTGGAGGAACTTCTGCTTGTGAGACCCTGATGTTTGTGTTAGACAAAGGAGCTTTGGGGTGGGATAAAACATCCAAAACCTCTGCTGGGTGATTTCTGTGTTGTGGAGGATTTCTGGCTGTGGAGGAACTTCTGCTTGTGAGACCCTGCTGTTTGTGTCAGCCCCTGTTTCCTGCCTTGCCCATGGAGCTGGCAGCCCTGTCTCTCTGGTACATCCAGGAATCCATGCAGTGTGAAGAGAACCCAGCTGCTGCCATCCCCCAGAGCAGCTCTCAGGCCAGGCTATCCCCTGGGAATGGAGGCACACAGGGTCCCTGGTACTCACAGTGGAAGGGAATGGCTGTCTCGTGGTGCTGAGCCTCCTCTGCCTGCTTCAGCTTCAGCAGCGTGGAGGCAAACAGGGGGTTGTTGATGAAGTGTTTCATGTAGTGCTTCTCACACTCCTCCTTGGATTTGGTGCACATCTGGTTGGCCACGTCCTGCCTGGAGTGGGGAGAGGGGGAGGCTTTGTGTGAACAACACAGAAATGATGGTTTTTTTTTTAAATTTCTCCAGTGGGAAAAGATAATTTTGGACAAGAGATTGGTTGTGTGCAGAGAACTGGCCTGTGATGGTGCCTGAACTCACACTCCCAGCACCAACACTCACATCTTGGTGCCAGGGAACATTTTTGGGTGCCCATGAACAATGAAATTCACTGATTTCATATGGGAAACCCTCTGGCTGATGGGAACATGCCACATCTTTAACGGGCTTGAAATTACTGATGTTATTTGAGAGCTTTTCACACATTTTACTGACTCCAGGTAATGGCAAACTCTGTGACCAGTTATCAATCCTACTTCTGACAGCAACGTGCACCTCAGAACTCTCAGCTCTGCTCCTGTGAATTCTGGGGTTCTGAATTTTAACTATTTTTAATAAAGGAGGAGACAGCTCATGAAAACAGGATCTGACACCACAGCCTTCCTTTAGCTGCTGAATCAGTGTCTCACCCACAATAAGCCACTGAACAGTCAATGTGCACTGATGAATTCCACAGTGAGATCCAGGGGAGAGAAAGGAAAAACTGCCCATCAGTGAGTGAGATTGGCTGAAGCACAGAACTCTCACCAGTTCCCAAATCCACAGTCCATCACAGCTTCCAGGAGAGACATCTCCTCCTGAGCTGTCCAGTTGGGGTCCAGCACAGGGAAGTCAGATGTCTGGGGAAGAAAAAAGAACAAATCCTGTGATCCTGTGGTCCAGCCCACCTCAGAAAGGGCAAAGAAGTTCTGAACCACAGGGTGACACAGATAGAGATAACTCTGGCAGCTTTAAACTTCCACAAAACCTGACTGAATAATTATTGGATTACTCAGGGCATCAAGCACAGCAAATCCTGGAACGTGCTGTGTCTCCCAGCTGTAATTGCACCATGTTGTACCACGAAACACAGAAAAATTACTGGAGACTTTAAGAATTATTAATTTGGAGGTAGAAGAAATAGCCTAGAGAAACAGAAGCCAATGTGCCTGGTTAAGGACTGTCAGTCCAGTGAGGTGCATTGTGCTACCCAGGCACAACAAAAAGATGCAGCTGGAAATGACTCCATTACTCCATTCTGTTCCAGGTGGATATTTTTCTTTTTTTAATAGTTTAAAACCTCTGAATCAAAGAATTGCATCTTCTTTCAGTGCAATGTGAGTAAGCAAGGGCCCCTCACTCCTGGGGAGCTGTGAGAGCCCAGACTGAGCAGTGCAATCCAAAATGAATATTTACCATTATCTCATAAGTGTGATCACTCTGGTGCTTCTTGTACTCGAATCCTCGGGTGAAACACTGCAGAACAAAAGACCAGAGCTGTGTTACTTCTGAAAAGATTTTCCCTGATCCCTTTTTTAACTCCCATTCTCTGCGCCCACGTCTCAGTGCTCCACCCTGCAGCCCCCTTTGTCACTCCCCTGTCGCTGGAGAGAGCAGGGATGGCCCTGGTGGCCCTGGTGGCCCTGTGTGGGCAGAGAGAGCTGTGCCCTGCTGCTGGCACTCACCTGCAGGCACAGCAGGAAGGGAGGGGGCCCACACTCAGCACACTTCACGTAGGGCTCCGTCAGGTACGAGGAGCAGCCCCGGCACGGGGGCTTGTCAAAAGGGTCACCTGGGACAAGCAGAGGGAACCTCCTGTCACACAGGCACTGTCACACGAGCAAGAACAGCCCCTCAAACCCCCCCGTGCCCAGCCCCTGCAGCTGGTGGCTCACCCCAGCTCAGGATGATTCTGCAGATTTTGAATGAACTCACCTGTTCAATAAAATTAATAGCACTGTCAGGTTGTAATGGCTTCACACTCAGAGCAGGGTTAGATTGGAGAATTGGGAAGAAATCCTTCCCTGGGAGGGTGGGGAGGCTCTGGCACAGCTGGGGCTGCCCCTGGATCCCTGGCAGTGCCCAAGGCCAGGCTGGATGGGGCTTGGAGCACCCTGAGACAGTGGCAGGTGTCCCTGCCCACGGCAGGTGTGGAATAGGATGGGCTTTAAGGTTTCTTCCAACCCAAATCAGTCTGGGATTCCATGATTCTGACTTTTTCCAAGGAAATGGATTTGAACTAGCTCAATTATAAGTAGAGGAAAATCAGACAAAACTCACACTGAACCATTTGTGCGAGCACTAAAGCACGTCCCCAAAGTGCCACACTCACACATTTTTTGAGCACATTCAGGGATGGTGACTCCAAAATCCCACTGCTGCAAGAAATCCCTGTACCATCAGGTTTTTCCTGAGCAGATTTAGGTGATGGCACTTACTGCTGAAAGAGGCCAGGCGCTCCATCCCTGCCCTGGTGCTGGCTGTGCTCCTTGGGTGAACCTGGCTGGCCCAAGCACCCACAGCGTGAGTCCCAAACTGTGGATCCCAAAGGGAATTCTGCCTTTCCCACAGCCCTCGTGGTGTGATCCTCCCAGGATGTCCTGAGCAGCAGGCAGAAGGGCTTCAGCAGCCTTCAGACCCCATTCCACACGGATCACAGCCCCCTCTCTGGCTGTGGGGAGAAATCCAGCATGGAGATGTGGGGTGATGGGCATGCAACCCCAAAGTGAGGGTTCAGTGCAACGGATGTGTGAGAGTTATGCAAGGAAGTGCTCTGCACCTCCCAGAAGCACTTCCCATATCCCACTGCCCCTATCCCAGTTCTCAATCCCCCATATCCCAATCCCCACTCTCCATATCCCAGTCCCCGCTCCCCCACATCCCAACTCCCATTCCCCATATCTCAGTTTCCGCTCTCCATATCCCAATTCCCACTCCCCCATCTCCCCATCCCCATATACCCATGTCCCCCTCCCCATTCCCATATTCCCATTCCCATCCCCAATCCCCATCCTCATTCCCATTCCCATACCCCCACGTTCCCCTCCCCATTCCCATACTCCCAATCCCCATATCCCCATATTCCCAGTCCCATATCCCCATATTCCCCATCCCATATTCCCAATCCCATATTCCCACACTCCCAATCCCCTCCTGCCCCCTCTCCCCATCACCGCCAGGCGGCGCCCCCGCCCGGCCCCGCCCCATCCGCGGCCCCGCCCCCTCCGGCCCCGCCGCGGCCCGCGAGGCTCCGTGAGAAGCGCGCGCGTTCCCGCCGCCGCGCTCCCCGCGCCCCCCGCCGCCCGAACCGCGCTCTCCGCGCTCCCCCCCGGCCCTGCCCGGCCCGGCCCTTCCCGGTCCCGGTGCGGCCCGCCGGGGGCGGCGGAGGGAGCCGGGGCCGCCGGGGCCGCCTCTCACCTCGCTCGGGGCGGCGGGTCGGGCCCGCGCGCGCGCCCGGCCCTGCGCACGCGCCGGTGCGGGGCGCGCGCCCCCTGGCGGAACCCGGCGCGCGCCGCAGGCCCCGCCCCGCCCCGCCCCTTCCCGCACGGGGCCTGAGGGCGCCGGGCCCGGCCGGAACGGGACAGCGGGAACGGGACAGCGGGAGCGGGACAGCGGGAGCGGGACAGCGGGAGCGGGACAGCGCAGGGAGCGGGGCTGGGCAGGGACCGGGACAGCGGGAGCGGGGCTGGGCAGGGAGCGGGGCTGGGACGGACCGGGGTCACACCGCGGCACCGGCAGAGGCCGTGCCAGCCCCGTGTCCCACGGGCAACTGCCCCGGGCCCCTCTGACCGCCCGGGACAGCCCCGCGCTCCTCCCACGGTCACCGGAGCAGCTGCCCCCGGCCCCTGACGGCGTTCGGCCTCCCCCCGGCAGCTCCTGAGGTGGGAAGGGGTGATTTTCATGGGAAAGGGCTCCCGTGGCCTTGTGAAGCAGGGACGGGGGGAACGGGCCTGTGGGGGATTAGAACACAAACAACAGAGAAAATCCCGGAGCGGTTTGGGTGAAAGGAACCTTCAGGATCATCCAGTGCCACCCTGCCATGGCACGGACACCTTCCACTGTCCCGGGTGCTCCAAACCCATCCAGCCTGGCCTGGGACACTGCCAGGGATGTGGAGCCTGTGCCAGGGCCTGCCCACCCTCACAGGGCAGAGCTCCTTCCCAATATTCCATCTAACCCTGCCCTCTGGCAGTCTGAGCCATTCCTCCCTGTCCATCTCTGCTCCTTGTCTGAGCTATTTACCGACAAGATTGAAAATGCTGGCAGCTTTTTCCTTTTGCATGTGAAAAATTATGGGAAAAAAAAATTAGAATTTGGGAGAGGCAAAGTGTGGAATGTCAATGAAATATTTATTGCTTCTGCTAACAGGTTTTTCCTGCATCTGGGAATTAGGACTCTGGGTGGTTAAGGGAAGGAATCAGCATGTGGGGATCTGGTTCCTGCTGTTCCCAGGAAAGGTGATGCATTTGCAAGGTAAAAATGCTGTCCTGAAGCCTGCAGCTTTCTGTGAACTTCAGATATTTCAGTGTTGAGGGTCTTCCTGTTATGCCTGTGGCATGGTAATGAAAAAAAAACAATCATAAGGAACATTAAAAATCCATGGAGTCTTAGAGGTTTTTCCAAAGGGTCTCAGCTCAACTCCCAACCTCTTTGTTCCTCCAGCTGCACTCCAAGAAGATCCAGGTGGATACTCTGGAATGAATTCAGTGCTCACACGCTGCTACTCGGAGGTTTTAGTGAACATGGTCACTAAAACGTGGTCATTTAGTGAGTGAGGTCACTTTCATTTGCTGTTTGGAATTATTTGCTGATCATTTCACTGCTCCCCTGCAGCCCAGTGCAGGCTGAGCCCCAGGTGAACCACAGCAGTTTTGGGGCAGCTGTGCCAGCAAACCCGGAGGCCACACGCACAGAAATCGGGGGAGCATTGTCAGGGCTCTCTCTCCCTGCTCTCGATGGGATTTCTCGGCGCTGTTGGGTGGAGGTTTTGTGGCGTTTTCTGCCTCGGACACACGGTGGCGATGGAAATCACCTTTTCCTGCAGAGCTTCGGGCTTTGGGGTGCTCGCTAACCACACGTGTGTGTCCCCCGGCATGGAAGGATGAAATATTTCTGTTCAATCCCAAATAAACGCCGACGTTTCAATTGGCCGAGGCTCCAGAGGATCCAGAACGCTTTCTCATAAGCATCGGCGTTATTTAAATTAAGATGTTTGTGTTTAAAACAAGAGCCAGTGGCGCCTGGAGGGCTGGTGTTTGGCTTTGAAAGGTGATCTGACCTTTCTCTCTGTTCCTTGGCTGCCAGGACACGCGTGGTGCCAGGCTGGCAGTGTCACCGACCCCTCACCCGGGCTGATCTGGGCTGTGTTTGCACTGGGGGTGTCACCAGAGCCTGGTCAGGAGAGGTGGAACCAGCACTTGGTGTCACGGGAGGTAAAAACATTTCCCCTGTGTGTTTTGGAGTTTGTTAACTTAGGCTAAACTTCCTTTTTTTTTTGAGAGAGCAGGGTGGCATGAGTTCCCAGTGCACATGCTTGGAAGTCATGGAATGAGAGTAAATAACTGTGGCCAGCTTTGGAGCAGGACAGGGAAAGGGTGTCAGGTGCATTTACCACCCCTCCTCCAAAGCACAACACGGTTAGGATTCAAACATTTAAAAGAAACCCATTGCAAAGTGTGTCTGAACCCCGTGAAACAATTAAAACATGGATTATTCCTGCCCAGACTTGAATCCCAGGATTGTTATGTTGGAAAAGACCTGGATTGTTATGTGGAAAAGACCACATCCAGGCATGGGGAGCACAGCCCTGTCACCAGTTGAATTTCATGGAATCTCCTGAGCTGGAAGGGCCCCACAAGGATCAGCCTCACTGTCCCCCACCTGATCATTCCACGTGCCTTCCCCTCCAGACCCTCCACCATCTTCATAGCCCAAAAAAATAACAATCTTCTTATTTTATTTCCTTCCAAATCCAAATCCACGCTGGGTTTTTAAGGTTAATGTCTTTAACTCTCTCTTTTCCACATGTTCATGCCTCTGTGTGCCCTTGACTGGAGGAGTTGCTGCAGGATTTCAGAGTGTGAAGCAATCCCTCCCCAGCAGTGTTTGGACAGCGTTTGGAGCTGGCTGGATGTGCTGGGCTGGGCAGGCAGAGTGCAGGTGCAGGTTTTAGCAGGCCTGGAGCTCTGGGAGCAGCAGCCAGGATGAACTCAGAGCCTGTTGTAATCTCTGGTGTGGTAAGTTCTGTATGTAGTTATTATCAGTGATTTGGGACCAGCCCCTCAGCAAGCCAAGCACTCCCCCTCACTCCTGCAGCACTTGGGATTTAGCACTGGAGAGGATTAACCAACACCAAACCCTTCTCTTCAGCTCCTCCATGAAATACTCACTCAGAGGAGGATTCTTTGTGTGGAAGACACATCTATAGCTATGCATTTATGTCTACAGAAATATAAATAAAAGTGTCCATGCCCAAATTTTCCAGATTTAGTCCAATGGATGTGAGAATATGCTCTGTTCCCCCAATAATTTTATTAACTCCAAAGCCCCAGATTGGATTTTCTGGGTATTTCTTGCCTGCAGTGGGCACCCATCCCATGATGGGCAGTTTCCTGCAGTCTCACACCTGCTGACCACTGCCTTGGTGGAAATTATCTGTATTTGGGAGCAGTGGATCCCACTTCTGTGCAGATCCTCAGGCACCTCCAGCAGGATCAGCCTGCACAGCTCACCAGATCCAGCAGCATTAGCATCTAAACTCGTGCTACTCCTTCCATTTGAATTTCAGCAACCCTGTAACGGCACAGAGTTCAAATAAAACACAAAATGTGAGAAAAAAGAGAGGAGGAGGAGTTCTTTAAACCATTGTCTGTCAGCAGAACAAGCAGCTGAAGGTCAGAGCCATGCAGGAGAGGCGCTGGCAGTGCCTGGCCCTGCTTGGCCGTGTCCTCAGCACCTGTTATCAGCCCTGTGCCCCCTGCCTGTGCCAAGGCGGGGACAGGGCAGTGTCCCCGAGCCACGTGGGACAGGGACAGCCAGGGGACTGCTGCTCCCACACTCAGGGGGCACCTGGTCCTGTCCCTGCTGCAGGAGGGTCACGGCAGAGCCCACGGCACAGGGCTGCTCCAGACCATGCTGCAGTCAGGACACTGCACACCTGCCCGGTCTCTGTTCCCGCACACCATCACCTGCACAGGAAAGCTCTTCCTCGTGTTCACGTGGGGCTTTGTGTGCATCAGTCCCTGCCTGTTTTCCCTTGTGCTGTTGCTGGGCACCACCGAGAGGAACCTGCTCCAGCTTGGGCGCCACCATAGACACCGATGGGCACTGGCGAGGTCACTTTGGTCACCTCGTGTCGAGGCTGAGCAAGGCCAGCCCTCTCGGCCTTCTCTCCCAGGAACGATGCTCCTGCTGTCCCGGGGGTCGCGGCTGTCCCGGTTGCCCCGGGGGTCGCGGCTGTCCCGGGGGTCGCGGCTTCGAGCCCAGGCGCGGCCCCGCCCGTCTCTCAGGCCACGGGCATCGCCCCACGGGCCCCGCCCCCGCGGCACCTCCCCATTGGTCACGCCCCCCGCCGCGGCCCGGGCGGCAGCCAATGGGAGCGCGCGGGGGGCGGGACGCGCGCGGGGCGGGGCGCGCGGGGCCTGACCCGAGGTAACCCCGATCACACCACCGGGGGGCGGTGCGGGGGCGGGGCCCGGGCGGCGCGGGGCGGGCCCGGGGCGGGGCCGTGGCGGGGAGCGCCAGGCCGGGGGCCCGCGGCGGCTCCGCTGCACCGGCACCGTGAGGTGAGGGCGGGGCCGCGCCGGCGGGGGGGGGCCGGGAGCGCGGGGGGCTCGCGGCACCGGCGGGCGGCGGCGCGCGGGGCTGGGCGGGGCCGGGCCGGGCCGGGCCGGGCCGTGCCGCGGGAGATGGCCAGGCCATGCCGTGCCGGGCGGGCGGGACCTGGCCGGGCGCCGCGCCGGCGGGAGGCGGCCGGGCCATGCCGTGCCGTGCCGTGCCGAGCTGTGCCGGCGGGAGATGGCGGCTATGCCGGGCCGGGCCGAGCTGAGCCGAGCCGGGACGGGCGGGGGTCTCCCGGGCCGGAGCCGCCCCTGCCCGCCGCAGCAGCCGCCGCCCGGTTCCCGCCCGGTTCCCGCCCGGTTCCCTCCCGGTTCCACGCGCTCCGGCCGGGCCGGGCCGCGCTGAGCCGGTGCCGTCGCTCGCGTGGCCTCTCCGGTCCCCCGCAGCCTGAAAGGAGCAGCACGTGGGCGGCGGAGAGTCCGGCACCGACGGGCCGGGGCTGGGCCGGGGCCGGGCCGGGGCCGGGCCGGGGCAGGGCTCGGGCATCCCTCCTCCGCCTCACCCTGCCGCTGTCCCTGGGCACTCTCGGGATCCTGGGGAACAGTCTGGGTCCGGTCCCGCCGAGGGGCTCAGAGCAGCCCTGAGATGCTCAGAACCAGTCAAGTTCTAAAAGCAGATTGGCAAACCAAATTGTTGTTCTTGCCCTTCCATTCTCCTAAATATTCTTGAAGAAGTTTAGAGTAAGTCCTGCGTTTGAAAGTATCTGAAGCGTGAGTGGAGTCTGTTCCAGTTTAGCAGGCAGGAAATATTCAGCAAAGTGTTTAAGTGATGCCAAAATCTCTCCAAGACAGTGGGATTCAGACAGTCTCGAGTGTTTTAGCAAACTGGGATAGCTGTAAATACAGGCTCTTATTGTGGTCTCTGGAGGTTTGGGCTGGATAATGGGAGACAGCTCTTCCCCGGAGGGTGCTGGCACTGCCCAGGCTCCCCAGGGCACGGCCCCGAGGCTGCCAGAGCTCCAGGGATGCCCAGGGTGGGATTTTGGGGTGTCTGAGCTGGCCTGGATGGTCCTGTGAGTCCCTCCCAGCTCAGGATGTTCTACAATTCTGTCATTCTACATCCACAGGTGGAAAGTTCTAGGTGGTTGTTTTTCCCTTAATACCCAGCCTAGCCCTGCCCTGGCACAGCTCCAGCTGTTCCTTCGGGTCACAGGGAGCAGAATTTGGAGCTGCAGCCCCTGGTGAGTGTCCCCTCAGTCTGCTCCAGCTGGACAAACCCTCAGCTCCGCTCCTGAGGCCCCTCCAGACCCTTCCCCATGCCCTGTCCCTCCTCTGGGCACTCTCCATCACCTTTGGCTCTTTCTCTGCCCGGGGAGGTTGTGAGGAGCCCTCGGAGCACAGCTCTGGGGCCGTTGGGCTGTGTTTGGTTGTGTTTTGGGCCGGGGATGAGGCAATGCCCAATGATTAACCAGGAGGCAGGCTCAGGTGGGGCAGGCTCAGGTGGGGCTGTGTTAAAACAGCGTGGCCAGGGAGCCCCGGGCTGTTCCGAGCTGGGGACCCTCTGCTGCAGGGAGCTCCCTTCTCTCCCGAGCTGGAACTCCCGCCCCCAGCCCTGGTACAGGTGAGCACCCTGCTGATTTTTTACTCTGTTTTCATCTGGTTTTACCGTTTTTTTTTTGCTCAGTTGTTTTCTGCGTTTCTCCAGGTGAGAGCACAAATCCATTCCGTCACTTTAAAGCGATTCACGTTGATCAGCAATGCCACAGCTCTAATCAGGAGGCATTTGAACGCAGCTAGTTTGATTAATTTGCTTTTCATATGCCACATCAATGTGGTAGGAGTGATACTGTGATTCTTTGAAAGAGCCCACTGAAATACTGATGTTCTCTTCACCTGTGGATTTGTCTTCAGAATGGGATAGTTAGAGAAAAACAGGGAATTTTAATTTCCACCTGTCGTTGCCCAAGTTTCATGCCTGGGTATATTTTTAGAGAATTAAAAGTGATTTTAAGGCGAAGCTGTTATAAAACTTCTAAAGTCTGGTATTCTTACCAGTGCATTTCAGGGTCAGGCCGAAGATGTGAGTAATGGTAGCAGCAGAGCTGTGGAGGAGTGAAGTGGGGCTGGTTTTGCCTCGGGCACTTTCTGGGTTTGGGTTGCAGAGTTTTCCCTGCTGGTAGCACGGATCTGGGTGTGAGGTGCCTGGACAGCTGCTGGGAGTGGAGCTGATTTCCCTGGAGCAGGGAGCTCAGCATGGCTGGGTCTGTGTGGATCCAGCTGTGCCTGAATGTGTTCCTGCATCTGGGCAGGCTCAGGGCTGTTCCCTGAGCTCTCAGTGTTCATCCTCCCCCAAACTGCAGCTTCTTCTCAGTCTCTGCAGGAGTTACCTGTTGGGCAGGCTGCTGGAAGGGGGTGCAGGGGCTGTGCACAGCTGAGGATCTGGATAATTTTGGGCTGTAGGGTCTGGTTCAGCATTATTGAAACAAACTCTACGTGTGCAGTGGTTTGTGACACACAGGTTTGTCCTGGTGCTCAGCTGAATTCCAGATGCTTGTGTAAAAATGGAACTGTGGCAGTTGCATTTCAGAGAGCCAATACAATCTGCAGAAGTACGTAAATATACCCCTTTATTTGTATATATGTAACACACCTCTGTGTTTGTACATATACCTCTATATGTGTATAGATAGTACATTTATAAAATATACCTCTCTATGTGTCTAGATAGTACAAGTATATTTATAAAATATACCTCTATATGTGTCTAGCTACTGTAAGTCTATTTTTGTGTGTGTCATAGCCTCTATCTGTAATTCACCTCCATAGTTGTGTATATCTAAAGTTTACCTTTATATTTCTGTATGTGAAATACACCAGTGTACAGTGCACAGCCTTGTGCATTGCACTCCCAGCACTGAAATCCAGAGGCTCCTGTGAGGAGATCTCTGAGAAAGTCCCTGTGTAATTTAGCCCCAGACAATGCTGAAATTAATTTAAATATGAACGAGGCCTCTCGGTGTGCTGAGAACAACCAAGCTTATCACTCCAGCACTGATTGCACAACCCCAGCGGAACTGCTGGCTCTGGGACTGGCTCCCAGGGCTTGGAAGTGCCTTGGGAAATGGACCTGAGTGGGGTGTCATGGATAGCAGCTGGGTTTTTGGGAGCTGAATTGGACAAACGAGGTGCTGGAGTGACCTTGGGTGAGTGTGGCAGTGCCTGGCTTTGGCTGGATGGTTTCTCACGTAATATTTGAGTGAAACACCTCCCTTTCTGTTCCTCTGCTTCTGAAAACCCCCAAATCCTTGAAACTTGCTCATTAATCTATTAGTTATTGAAATTAGAAAAGGTTTTCTTCAATGAAGTGGGGCTGGAGTTAGTTTGGCTGCATCCCAACCTCTTTGGTGCTGGCGATTGTGCCAACAGTAAATGTGTCTGCATGAAAAACTTCAGAAAAGATCTGGTGCCAGGATAAATATCCACATAAATATCCACATAAATACTGTGTGCATCTTTGTATGCACAAACAAAATTGGATTTGTGCTGTCTGAGCACCTCAGCTAAAGGAGTCTCCCTGCAGGGTTTAGCTTGCACATCACAGGTGCACCGGGAAACTTTCTGGTCATGTTTCCTCTTCTTCTCATCTCTACCCTCAAAAAAACCCCATTTTTTAATGTTTTTAATGTCCATGTCAGACAGATATTTGTGTCTTTTCAGTTATAAAATGGTTAATGATGCCTCTGCCAAATGAAGTGCCCGTGGCCACGGGGCAAGTGGAGTTTGTGGGAGGAGTGATGTCAACACGGGATTTGATCTGAATAATTCAGGCGAGCACCTTCGTGGCAGGAGTGCAGGAGCCAGTTGGATGAGTTCTCAGCTCTCAGTCACTGATGGAGAGCAGCACTGGGGTGTTCAGGGATTGCTCTGGCTGTAAATACCTCTCTGGGCCCTCCTTGAGGCCCCATCATGTCCCATTGCTGTGACACCTCCGCTGCTGTGACGCCACGGGCCAGGTTTTGGTGCTGCATCCTTGGCTAACGGGGCTGTAATTAGCGGGGCTGATGAGCCTTTCCCTCCCTGGGGTTCAGCTGGAACTGGCCAGAAGGGGACAGGAAGGGTTTGGTACCACAGATAGTGCTGGCACACCCCGCTGTTCCTGGCAGCTGGGACAGTCAGGTCTCAGAAGATTCCAGAAGGATGGAGACCAGCAGGAGGTGCCAGGGCTGGGCTGGGCCACTGCAGGTTTAGCTCCTGGCTTAGTCTGTACCTGGAGCAAGCCAGCCAGCCTGTGGTGTGCCTGTGGGGCTCTTTGGGATGGTTTTGGTGGTGTAAACAGGAAAACACACATGGGATATGCTTCATTATAACCCTAACGTTTGCTTCCTAATTCTTTTCTTTTCCCAGTTCGTTTTGGAAGTGGCTCAGGGCGCAGATTGCACGGATATCCAGAGGTGAGTGCACTCCTCAGTTCCTAATGTGTGTTTGCAGCTGTTGTGTGAGTGCAGCAAAGTCAGCCAGAGCAGGGGTATCAAATGTTTATTCCCCATCCCACCTTTGTGCTGTGGGGTGTTCCTTTGTTTTCCTTCCTCAGTTGAAATTATTCTTTTGACTTTCAAGAAAATGCTTTCATTCCTTGTTGGAATACTGGAACAGACCCATCCCTGGGAGTGTCCAAGGACAGGAGCAGCCTGGACTGGTGGAAGTGTAGGGGATGAGATGAGATGAGATGAGATTTAAGGTCCCTTCCAACCCAAACCAGCCAGGGATTCTCTGGTCCTGGGAATTTTGATACTTGGGGTCCCCTGCCTGTGTCTGTAGGTTTTGGGTCTGGTGTGTGGGGTAGTTTTGGTGGTTTTTTTTTTCTTTTTTTTTTCTTTTGACTGACTCCTGCAGCTTTGTCTGAGGTGGGAGAGTCCTTGTGCAAGCAGGGAAATCAGTGCTTGGAGCAGAAGTGGTTTTGATCCACACTCAGGGTTCAGCTCTGCCCTTCTAACGTTCCATTTCCCATCAGTGCACCTTGCTTTGCCCTGCAGGGGTGGCTATTCACCTCGGGTTTGGTTTTGTCCTTTATTCTGCAGTGCTGAGAGCCCAGTTTGGGGGAGCCATGGAGGAGTCCTCTGAGGCCAGCAAAGCTGTGGATGCCAGCGCTCACTCGCGCTTCATCATCGGCTCCGTGTCCGAGGACAACTCCGAGGATGAGACCAGCTCCTTGGTGAAACTGGACCTGCTGGAGGAGAAGGAGAGGTCCCTGTCCCCTGCCTCAGTCTGCTCCGACTCCCTCTCGGACCTGGGGCTCCCCAACGCTCAGGATGGCCCGGCCAGCCACATGAGGTATGGACAGAGTTAAATCAAAGTTCTCCGTTAAATAAAATAGTTAACCCACATGAGGTATGGACAGAGTTAAATCAAAATTCTCCATTAAATAAAATAGTTAACCCACATGAGGTATGGACAGAGTTAAATCAAAGTTCTCCATTAAATATAATAGTTAACCCACATGAGGTATGGACAGAGTTAAATCAAAGTTCTCCATTAAATAAAATAGTTAACCCACATGAGGTATGGATAGAGTTAAATCAAAGTTCTCCATTAAATAAAATAGTTAAGCCATGTAAGGTATGGACACAGAGTTATATCTAAGTTCTCTGTTAAATAAAATAGTTAACCCACATGAGGTATGGACACAGAGTTAAATCAAAGTTCTCACATGAGGTATGGGCGCAGTTAAATCAAAGTTATCCATTAAATAAAATAGTTAAGCCACATGATGTATGGATACATAGTTAAATCAAAATTCTCCAATATATAAAATAGTTAAGCCATGTGAGGTATGGATACAGACTTAAATCAAAGTTCTCCATTAAATAAAATAGTTAAGCCACATGAGGTATGGATACATAGTTAAATCAAAGTTCTCCGTTAAATAAAATAGTTAATTTAAGTTCTCCAGTCTTTTTACCCTGTCAGTTCCAAAGATAATCCAAAGATTCAGCGTTATACCTGTGTTTAGCTTCAAGTGTCCCTCTGGCATTCTGTTTCTTAATGACCTCTTGTATGTTTGTTGTATCAAACCCTTTGTTTTTAGTGAAATATTTGTGCCTAGATTCCTTAAGCACCTTGCCTGTCTTGTCCTGGTTTCAGAAAATGGAAGTGTCTTCACTGAGACGTTTCAAGTTTTCACTTGTGTGTGGTTTTTCTGGGCCCTGTTTGTTGAGACCAAGAACAATATTTGCCTGTTTTGTCTTTGCATGGATTTGCTGCTTTCAGTGTAGCCAGAGAATTGGCAGTGGGAAGGAGCAGTGGCTCCATACTGGAATTTTTTTGTTAGAATAGGGAAAACTTTACTACAAAGGTTGTAGTAAAGCCTGGAGTCCTGCAGTGTGGTGATAAACCAAGATTTCATGTGGTGGCTGCTGCCTGAGCTCAGGGCTGGTCTCAGGGCTGCCCCACCCTGATTCTCTATGAGTGAGCCATGAGCTGGGCTCTTGGGGTGGTGCTGATGCTGTTCCCTGGTCCAAAGGCCCCTTTATTTCAGGTGGTGCTGATTTCCATTCCAGGGGAGGGGTGTGCCTGTGGGATGCTCCCTGTTGTACTCTGGGCACTCCTCATGTACAGATCATTGTCTCAGTGCCTGGGCAGCCTGGCTTCACTCTGCCATGGGTCCTCCATTTGTTTGCCATATTCCAGGGGCTCTGCTCTGTCTGCCTGTGCCTTCCCATCCCAGGAACACCCAGGACAGTGTGGATCCCACTCCAGTTTTACTGGGCAGCCCCTCACTGCCTTTGCTGTGCTGCTTTTGAAGGAATTTTGATTCCAGCAAGGTTTCCTGACCAGTGCTAGATATTTACACAACCAGCTAATCCTTGTTTTGTGTTTTACTGGTTTCTTTGCTTGTGCAGGCTAAGGAAAAGTGAAAAGATTATAATCTCTCCTTTTTTATGGTGTTTCCCTTCCCAGTTGAGGGCGAAGCTCTGGGATCACACAGTCCCAAAGCCCAGGATGGGGCAGAGGGGGGACATTGCTCTGTGCCTGACAGAGCTGTCCATGTCCAGCCAGCTGGCACTTGCACAGCTGATGCAAAACCTTAAAGCAAATTTACAGAGGGTTGCCTTCCCACAGCCTGTGATCTGGCAGCACAAAAGGGGTGATTTTGAAGCAGGAAACTGTAACTATATACAGCTTAGGTGCTCATCCAATTCCTTCTGTTCCTGACCACAAATGTGTAAATGGAAATGTCAGAGGAAGGAACTTTCAGGACAGTGTCTGGCCCCAGAGTGCAATAGGTGTGCAACCTTGGGCACCTCTGTTGTAACCTGCTTACTTTGGCAGCCCCTTTGGGGAACACTTGACTTTTGAGTTAAATTGGAGAGAAATGCCAATTCAAATAGAAAAGTTACAGCATTATGGGCTGTTTTTCTAAGATAAACTCAGGTGAGCTGAAATACTTTTCAGGATGGTTGTCCCTTTCATCAGGAGATTTCTAAATCATGTTTGCAGATGGAGAAACTGAGACAAAGACAACAGCAAAGACAAGTTCAGCAACTTGCCTGGAGTCACTTTGTGTCAGTTAATGGGACAGAGGTGCTCTGGCTTCCAGCTTCCTTTTGGTGCTCACAAAGGTACCACACTGTGTAAGGTGATAAAGGAAATTTCACAGGCAGTTCTGTACACCTGGACACAAGGTGCAGGTCCAAGGGAGCATAACTTTTGGAACAGGTTGCCAAAACCCTTTCCATTTGCTGGTGACTTTCCCACAGGATTTAAATAGAGATGGCTCCGTTTGGGGTGAGGGGCTTTGCTGCAGAACAGTCCTCAGGGAGCAATCCCAATTAAAATGCAGGATTTACTCAGCTGCCACAGGGCCTGTGAGGGCAGGTTTGTGTGACCTTATTGATCTGTTCATGCTGTTGCTAAAGTCACTCCTGCTGGGACAGGCTGTGCACTCTGGGCTCTCCTGCCCTGGACATCCATGGAGCCCTTCAGGTGTGCCAGCTGGCTGCTGCTCTGAGGGTTAAAAATGAACTTTCAATTGCTGTGTGGGTCATCAGCACCCCAAAGCTGGTGTGTGGGGACAGTAACCACCCAGACTGAGTGCTCAGAGGGTCTCTGTAGCACTTTGCACCATCCAATAATAAAACCAAGCCTGCCAAATTTTTTTTTTCCCTTTTTCTGCCTGTGTTGTCTCTGAGTTCAGAAGTTTCCATCAGCCCTTCCAACCAGTCCTGCTGGCAGACAGTTTTCCTTGAAGTGACCTCTTACAGAGTTGCTGTGCTCCTTTCTGAAGTTTTAGTGGCAAATTAAGTAAATTCCTCCATAAATGCCACTTGCAAAGTACTTTGGGCCCGTCTGTCGTGTTTAATAAATTGTTGATTATTGCTAAATTTAATTCCTAGTTTCTGAGATGGTATCTTGTATCAAATTCTTGTTTAAAATAGAACAAAACCTGGATGTCTTCTGGTATTTGTACATCAGGGCTCTGGTTTCATAAGCAGTGACATGGGTGCACAGAGTCACCTGACAATCCACTTGTATCAGCTGAAAGGCAAATTTTTGGATGGAGTTCAGCTGTTACCTCACATGAAGCCCACAGAGTTTAGATGGTTGCTCCTAACTCTGGTTGGACTTCTCAGTGTCTCAATGAATTATGGAGATGCTTAAGCAGAACTAATCATCTGCTAAAGGAAATCTGGCCAAAAGCCTCGATTTTAGGCTGGGCAGCAGTGGCTGAGCGTGCCCAGCCTGGCAGTGGGACAAGGTGCCTGCTTAGAGTGGCTGCACAGAGCCCTGAGCGCAATGAAAGATCCTTTTGAGCCTCTTCTGAATGGAAAAAAATTCCTTTTTTTTGCAGCCCAGCAGGTTGTGGCTGGGAGCTGCACTGAGGAGCATTGATGCTCTGGAGCTGTTGGTGCTGCTGTGGTTTCGGGCCAGCTGTGGGCAGGGAGGCACAAATGTGCTGTGGGGTCTGTGGGGCTGCTGCACAGGGGATTTCTCCTCTGCTGCATGGAGGAGAAATCCTTGCTGTTCCAGGCTGTCTGCAGGGTCAGGATGAATATCCACATCAATAAAGTGTATGCACAAACACAATTGTGCTGTCTGAGCACCTCAGCTGAAGGAGTCTCCCTGCCTGGTTTAGCTTGCACATCACAGGCGCACAGGGAAACTTTCTGGTCGTGCTTCCCCTTCTTCTCATCTCTCTGCCCTCAGAAAAGATTCCCCCTCTGGCTCTGTGCTGTCAGGTGGTGCTGGAGCTCCTGTGTGGGCTGATTTCTGAGGAAGGGAAACCTTCCTCTATCCCAGCCTGGCCGTGGGTGCTTCCAGGGATGGGGCAGCCCCAGCTTCTCTGAGCACCCTGTGCCAAGCCCTCCCCAGCCTCACAGGGAGGAATTTCTGCTTAATTTCTAACCTGAACCTGCCCTCCTTCAGCTTAAGGCCATGAACTTCATCCACCTGGAGTGAAAAGCTGACTTCCTCCTCTCTCTGTTGAAAGAGAAGGAGGTGGTTTGGCCTCGTGGCTGTGCCTGGTTGTACTGATAAGGTGGGAATTGCACGTGGGAATTGCAGCTCCTTCCTTCCCTGGAAGCTGCTCTGCTCCCTGAGCAAACACACTCTATAGCTCTGCCTGCCTCTCAGAGGCTGTATTCTTATTTTGGTGTTGTTTTGCTCCTTTTAGCCTCAGTTAACAGAAATGTCCTCTCTAAATTCAGTCATTTGCTGGGAGCTTCTGCAGAGATTCCCTGGCTGGGACACCCCAGTGTGACAGCCACGTGCTCACTTATCTGATCCTTGTGCCTGAGAGATAACCAATCTCACCGTGGTGAATTTAATGTGAGACTCCCCACCTGCCCCACTTGGTGTGAAAGGGTCCATTCTGGTGTTGTGCAGATCAGATCTGTCCAACACCTGAACTCTGCCAAATAGCACAGGAGGGCTCCCTGCCAGGGACTCCAGCTCCTCTCACTCTGCTGCACAACCCTCTGCTGCTGTTGTTGTTGTTCACTTTTATCTTGGTGCCAGGGCTTGACCTGGAGAGTTTTGGGCTGCTCTGGGAACATGTGGAGTTTTTTGCTGCTCTGGGAACATGTGGAGTTTTATACTTCATGAGGATGGAGAAGTAAAACTCTTTTGGTACTCTGTAAGTTTAGGAACTGGATTATGGATATTAATTTGATTTTAAGTTGGCTGTTTATCTGGATTGATGTGGATTCAGTGGATGTTTTGAGTGTCAGGGTGTTGTGTGTCCTGGAAATGGTCCTGTTCCAAATGCACCTGGCTTGGCAGGTGAGCAGCCAGGTGTGTGGCTGGGAAAGGAACTTCTGCCAAACTGTTGGCAC